TATACCACGCCCACAGAAGTTATTATGTCAAAACAAAATGTTTTAGGAGCGAAATAAAAAGTTTTGAATGACAAACTCATGCTGAAGAAACGTTTTAAAACCTAGTTATAAATGCACGCTTCACGGAAGCTCGAAAATGGTAGTAGCATTTGACCTAAATTTTCAAACTTTGTAAAACATGTTTTTGTGAGATGAAAGGTATGGTATGCCCGTGGGCTTAGGTATGCCTGTGGTCCCCCCTTCTTTGCATTTATTCCAAATTTTCCAAAACTTGTTTATATCAGAAAGTTTAAAAAAATTCTTGTGGTCCCCCTTTGTTGACCCTAGGGTTACCGTTTGCATTTGAACAAAATTGTCGAACTTTGTATAACGCGATTTTATGCGTAGAATCGAAGTCAGTAATATTGTATTTGTTCATGATGTGACAAATTAATTCTTTCCATATAGAATGGCTACGACAATGATGTACCAAACAGAGTGAATGCGGACAATTCACAAGCTGCTCCAGGAAAGAAAGTCCCACCCCCTGTAAAACCCAAACCGAAACGTCCCAACTCTACCATACAAGACCAAGTGAATGAAAAGGTACTGGTCAAATATTTTGAGTCCTATGCATTTTAATTTTTTTTCACGCTTTAGTTTTCATATATTCTCTGAAATTGTTTGCCATTGAAAACATAGATTTTGTTGATTTGAGTTTGTTCAGGGTCGTGGCTAAAGGGGATGGACTAGAGGCAGGTTTTCAAGATGGCCGCCAGTTTTTAAGATCATTAAAACGTAAAAGAATCAACCAGCCACTTGCAACAATACTAAACCTTACTGTTACCCCACACCTAACCCCCACACTTAACCCCCACACTAACCCTAATACTAACCTTGCCCCACACCTTCCCCTAATCCTGACCCCCACACTAACCCTTATACTAACCTTACCCACACCTTACCGCTATCCTAACCCCCACACTAACCCTAATACTAACCTTACCCCACACCTTACCCCTAATCCTAACCCCCACACTAACCCTAATACTAACCTTACCCCACACCTTCCCCTAATCCTAACCCCCCACACTAACCCTTATACTAACCTTACCTCACACCTTACCCCTAATCCTAATCCCCACACTAACCCTAATACTAACGCAAGCTCTTATTTCAATTTTGGAAGCATCTCGTAACTACCTCTCGTCCATCCCTTTTAGACATTACCGTTCGTTCATGTCTTACAACGCTGTTTCAAATTTATTATTACTATTTATTATATTTAAAAATGTATTACTGTATATTTGATGCTATTTCCTTGAAACAACCTTTTTTAACATGTATGTATTCTCAAACCCTTCTAGCCTGCAGTTCAACAACAAAGCTATAAGCCAGTACCAGCTCCTAGGCGAAGTCTCAGTACTGGTGGAACATTAGATCGTATCAAACGATCTGACGAGGAGACTGTATCGGTCCAGTTATTACGCGGTCAGCAAGGTTATGGATTTAGTTTACGAGGTGGTCAAGACCTTGGAATGCCGTTGTTTATTTTAAGAATGGCTGATGGTGGGACTGCACATAGAGATGGAAGATTAATGGTAAGATTTACCGAGTTGTTTGTGATGTTACTCTGAGTGTATATGAGCTTGAAAAATATGCCCGGCCACGGTGGGAATCGAACCTTCGACCTTTGGAATACTAGGCCCAATGCTCTGCCAACTGAGCACGCGGTCAGGTCAGTTCGAGTAAGTGATATTTCGGAACAGAATCTAGTTCCTTCGATACCAATGTAATCTAGTAGTATAGTTGGTGTTGTGTACTCAGGTGGATATGATGTTTGTGATGTTACTCTGAGTGTATATCCACACCGGGCGAGCTTGAAATACATGAGTACACAACACCTGAGTACACAACGCCAACACAGAAAAAATCATATTTACCGAGTGTTTCATCACAGTGGTTTAATAGCAAATGTCAAGTTAGTTTAGTTAAAGTTTTAAACTCCTGTATAAATAACGCCGCAGAAAATTTTGTATAATTACAGCTTGTACAATACTAGCATTTTGTTCGAATTTTTGTGACCGGAGCTATACCTTAATTTACACACATGCGTATTAGACAGTAACTTTGAGCCTTATGGCGAGCAGAAAGTTTATATATTTTAGTTTATGTTTTGTTGGGTTTTTAACGGTAAATAAATTCATCTTTTTTATGAAAGTGAGTTTTTAAAGAGCCTAGCTAGAATCATACCGTAAGACTTTCAACATCTCACTAAAATATTGTTTGTTTCGTTAAGGTTGGTGATGAGTTGATTGAAATCAATGGTCAGTCGACGTCCAATATGAACCACAGTGATGCTATAGATGCCATAAAACGAGGAGGAAATTCTCTCAACGTTATTGTTCGTCGATCTAGCAAACAAGCATATATGAGTAAGTATAACAAGTAAAGCGTCTTGCCGATGTAGGTAGTGCCAATCAAATGAACAAGCTTTCGTTGCTAGGGATGCAACTACCTGAAAAATATGAGGAGAATTTCGTCTGGAGTTACTATAAGTTACAAAGGGCCTTCGCCAGGGCCGCCGAGAGGTTGGCGGGGGCCCGGGGCAAATTATTTTTTAGGGGCCCCTATCTAAAAAATTTTTGCGGAAAAAATTTTTTCGGAGAACAACCTCCCTCTCCCCCTGCCGGTGACAACTTTTTAGGTAAAAAATTTTTCCGGACGAATACGTTGCAATTGCTTGCCAGGGACTTTATCTCATTTTTTCATGCCAAATTTCGGTACTTAGCAAAAAAAACCCAGATATCTTGTCCTTTGTGCGGAAATATTTCACACACAAAAAAGACTGGGGCCCAACAAAAAATTTTCAGGGGCCCCCAACACCTCGGGGCCCGGGGCAATTTGTCCCCCCCCATCTGGTGTACGAAAATGACTGCTGATGCCAATTCGTCAGTTTATGGCGAACTTTGAAATCTTTACATGTTCTTATCTGAGCTATACCTGTACATACGCCAGGTTAAGAATCATCTACAACTAGTTGGTATCGTGTAGATGGAGTTTTGAGCGGTAAGGGGCCTTAAAATTCATTACCCTTTTAGTTGTAATGCGCGCCATAATTTATTATTTAACTCTGTCTAATGCCAGACGATTTTACTCGTCAAGGGAAGAATGCTGCCATGCACTCAGTGGGTTAAGAATTAAGATAATGTTCTTTTTTATGCCAAGAACTCCTTCTGACATTAAATTCTCTTAATTAGCAAACACATTACCAAATGGCGGACACAATTCTGGAGTACGCAGACAGCAGAGATTCTACTATTAAATCCGAGGAACTCTGGGCCAAAGTGTAGATCGGACGCAAGTGAGATTGGTGACAAAAGTGAGACTGCTCACAGCCCCATATAAGTTTCCAGGCCAGATTATGTACCTTTGAAGGTTTTGACTTTCAAAAGTCGAAGGTATGCATTTTCTATCTTTTTATGAGAACATTTTTGTGAACATTGTATAGACTCGCTCATGATGAGTGAAAACGTATTTCAGCAAATTCAACTTAGCACATGTTTGAAACGCAGAAAAAATTGTTCTGTGTTCCTAAAGGGCGAAATTATGCCATATCAGATTTAACACATTCGTAGCACAGTCCTTATATGCTAAATAATTATTGCTAATGCTGTTCTGCATATAACAAACTGGATGGTTGACAGTTGAGAATGGTTATTAAGTGGACACAATTACCATGCATAACATTCTAGTAGTTTTGAGGTTGTATTCCTGATCTCAAAATATGACTGGAGTAAGGTATGAAAAGAAAAAGTACTTGAGTATCAAAAGTATGTATGCATGTCGACGATAGTATTTCAATTGTATATATGTATGTCAAAGAAAGGACACACAACATTCACCATCAACAAAAATTCTTGTGACCAAATTTCGTGATATAAATACCCAAAATAACCCAGAAATTCCAGGCCTAATCCTATCTGCGATAATAGTCGATAGACAGTCTGCCCCATCCAGTCTTATTTTGAGATCACAAGGTCGTGTAGATATTTATAGGATTTTACAACAATAATATTTCTCAAAATATAGATTATCAAAGTTTGAACATAATTTTTTCGAGATACCCATATATATATATTTACCTGTATTAATTGTGATAGACAAATTTTCATTTCTGTAAAATTGGATGACATATTTTGATTGTGAAAAGTCATTAACTCTGCACTTATTATCTGAGTAGACTTGATTAATATAGTTTGTAATTGTATAGCATTTTCTAAACGAAATACTCACAAGACGTGATAGATCGTACGCATTGATAACGAATATCAATTTAGACAATTATATAGAAGCAACAAGTAACAGAATTTTCGTGTATATTAAATTGTATTGTTATTGGACTACACTGAGCATTGTTCATTAAACGCTGGCTAAAAAATGGACGAAGAGTTTAGGCTATAATAGCCTTACTATTTTGCCATTTTTTGCCGTTTTCGAAAGTGGCTAAAAGTGGACGAAAAGTTAATAAGGCTATAGCCTTACTTTTTGCCCCTTTGAAAGTGAAAAAAGTGGCTAAAAATAGCCTTCGAAAAGTTAAGCCTATAGCCTTACTTTTTTTGCCATTTCACCCCCCCCCCCCGTTTTGTAGGAAAAATTGATAAATTTACGAAAATAATACTGGAAAATGTTACAAATTACAGTAAATTATTAACAGGGATGGATCCAGCATGATCTGGTAGGGGGGGGGGGTGCTCTGCCAGCTCTGGTGCCGAGTTGTGTCAGTCATGTGTGCCGCCCGCCCATCAACTTGCTTCACTACTGCAAAGTCTTGCTTGACCACAGTATTTGAATTGTAATTGTTGTTCACAGTTTGCTTATCATCATGTTATTACTCAAATTACTTTATTACTTTAATTACTTTGCGCCCCGCACCC